CGCGCGCAAGGCCGTCTTTCTTCCCGGTCTCGCCGCCTCCCAGAAAGGACCGCGCACGCTGAGAGGTTCCCCCACACTCGCTGGCTCCGTGTTGACATTCACCCGGTGTGTGGGAAGGCCGCGGCAAGCCAGGCAGAGTTTGTCCGAATAAAACAGCCTCCCGAGAGGTTAATGTCCTGTCTCCTATTCCGAGACGAGAGTTGGAGGAGGCTCAGTTTTCAGTGGAGGTCACAGCAGGCCACTTTTCCGCCTTCTCGGTCTTACCCTGGAGCTGCTGTCAGCCTCCGGTTTTAGGTGTCCAGTATGCTGGTTTTAGTGGGCTCAAGAATGCTCTAGCCATAATGCTTGCTCTAAGTAATTGCAGAGCTCGCTTGCCAGCGGGAACACGGCCTGCTTTGCTCGCCCTCTGTAATCGCTCTTCATTCCCCTGAATTCCCCCACTCCTCCGACTAACAGGGGCGGATGCACATGCCACTTTTGTTGTTGTTTAGAGTCTTGGTACTATCTTTCGGGCTGTTGATTGAAATTTTTAACCTTTCTCTGTGTCTTCAGCTTTGCCACCTTGTTATCTGAAGTTGTATGCTCCATGATCTTTGCTTTTAAATGTTTTAGTAGTATTAGGAAATGTTGCTACATTTTAAAAGCTTCTAAAGCAACATTGTGAGTTAGTAAATACATTACAACACTAGAAACTGTGTTTGAAGATAAAAACAATCCGTATTTTTTGTTTCCCTTTTACCTTTTCTGTGGAGATTGCTTTAGTCTCCGAGTGTTTCTGAAGTCCAATTTGTTGTTGCTCAAAGAACGTTTTATGTTATTAAAATATATTTTAGCTCCTACTGAGAGTTGAGATTATGATGTACCTTTTGTTCTGAACATGTATACTTTGAAAAAAACTGTGTCTTAAAAGGTGCCTGATGTTTCCCAAAGGCCAGCAACTTTTACTTTCCCTTTTGCCCTCCTCCCCCTCCTTGGAGACTTACAGTGGAAACTGTTTAGTGTGTTAGCAGAATTTGCTCATTTTTTTCAGGTGTAAGTTACTGACTTTTTCCCTTAAGTGACATCAAACGTCTCCGTGATACTGTTTTCTAAGAAAACCAAAGAGATGCCATCTTCCTTACATACCTTACTCATTAGAAACTCCCATCAGGGCTCTCTTTTTACTTTTGCTTTACCTGCAAGCTTGGCGTCTTAGCTTATAATAGGGGAGTAGGAGGTCTCAGTCGTGTCCGAAGCCTGGTCCTGGCAGAGGTGGGAGTGGAGTGGGGAGGAGACCAAAAAATTGTTGCGAACATACAGAAGAACTCAAAACACCATCAGTTTGGGGCTGTTTTGCTTAAGAGCAAACAACTCCTGTTCCAGGGAACCATCAAGATCCTCTGTCAGTTGTGAGGGTACTGTGAAGTAGTGGAAAGGGCATTCCAAGAGTTGGCCGACCAGGTCTGACTCTGCCACCCTGGTGCCCCTTGCTGAAATCTGTCTACAGAAGCATTTTGTTTGGCCGGCACCCTGTTGTTTTGCTTTTAATGTAATTAGTTGCCACTATTTAAAAGTGGGAGATGTTAAAATCCGAATTTTCAGCTTTTCTTGAAGAATAGGAGGGCCTTTCCCCACTGGGCAAGACAGTAAACTGCTGGAGCTGAGTAAATGGCTTCCTTCTTTAGACTGGACGTGCATCTCCCATTTGCCAAGGTCCCCTCAGTCCTCTTTGCTTATTTGCAAAAACAGCCTTAACCATATGCAGAGATCCCCTTGCAGGACACAAGTGATGGGAGGAGGTGGAAGCGTACACAATCTAGCCAATAGGTTCTTCTAATTCTTATTTAAGATAGCCACTGGTGATGATTCTGCGCCACCTAAGATGAGGTTGAGAATACAATTTCATATCTGGATGTACTCTTGGGAGCTCAGAACCTGCATTTGCACCTGCCTGCTCTCCTTATCTTGAACTCTTCCTTTAGACCTAATGCACTATTGCAGATGTGCCCAACTTGAGCTCTTTTACCTGAGGCTCTGTTGTCATGTTCTTCTCTTCCCCTGGACTGCCCTTTGCCTGGCCTAACACTACTCCTCCTTCTGGACTCACTTGACCTCAGGTGTTTTCTCAAATCCTCAGGGCTGTGTTGGATAGTCTTCATTTTCTTTTAGCACTGAAGCCTAGCACTTAATAATGAATTGTAAGTTCCTATTCACTTGTCTGCCCCATCCCACAACTAGATTAGATGGTCCTTGAAAACAGGAATGATATTTTACCCTCATTTTATCCTTCATGCATACAGTGCCTGACACCTAGTAGGAACTTCCGTTGCTTGAATGAATGGATGGCGGAATACCCAAACTGCATCATCTGTCTCCTCCTTCACTGACCATTAAAAAAAATTCCTCTTGACGGCTTTATTGTTGTTTATTTGGTTAAAAACTTTGGAGTCGTCTTGGACTTCTCTCTCTTACATTACTGCCCAAACCCAGCATGGCCTGTAGGTTTATCCCCTTTGACACGTTCTTCTAATCTGTTCCCTCCTACTCTTGAGTCCGCTTTCCTTTTTTTTTT